TACAAATGACTGGAGGTCACCAGGTAATACTAATCCCGTGCGAATAGGGCTTTAGAGTGGTTACAATCATCCGGGTTTAAATGGCGCTCAAATTGATTTGATTTTGACGCAATATTTACACTGAAGCTCACAGCAGGCGTCTATGGTAAGGGGCATGACATTTCCCAACCAGGTGCCGAGTGCTGCCAATCACAACACACACTGGCCCAGCTAACCAATCACAGCACATTTCGTATTTCAGAAGGCGGGCCTTCATTTGATACAGGAACTAAATTTTACATTACAGTTTTACTTGTCTTTGTAACCATTAGTGAGATTTACTAGTAATTTCCGAGTGAAAATGTTCTCAAAAGGAAATACTACACCAACCACAATACATCCAGGAATGTGCATTAATTTGATCAATTTTGATTTTATGTTCCTATTAAATTTCATTTAGCTTTACCTGTCTTAACTGTAGAGTTCATGGGCAGGAAGGGATTGCGATTTAATCTTTCTTATCCACTTAGTCCGAATCTCACTCTCTCACTCCTTTTACCTGCACAAAGTCAACGAGACTTTCATTTATGCATTATTTAACTAAATTCAATTAATTCTACATGCCCCATTTTGCCTGAATTACATTAGCAACAATTAAAATAAATGTTCCAGCCACATTTAACAGGTCAATTAAAATAACCTTTTGGGCAAATGGAAAAAAAGAAGCAGCAAAGGACCTGTTACACTTTTCAGGAGACAAATGACCAGAGCGGTTATTATATACAGCGGAGCTCCTCATGCACAAGAGAATGAAAACATTATTTATCAGCTGTTGATCCTAATGAAGAATTATTCCAAGATGGTGTCTAAGCTAGCGGCTCTGCGGAGAGCAGACCGCAGAGTAGAGAAGTGTGGGTGCAGATAGAGAAAGTCTGCAGTTTATAAATTATTTGGAGAGCATGGTAGAGGATATAGCTTGCTAATGAATAGAGTCATCAGGCTGGTGAAGCCCATGGAAAGGACTGCCATCTGCCTCCCCATTACAATAATGAACTCTGTGTCGCTCCATGGCAGGGCCTGCGCTACAGGTGCACAAAACCAGCATTATATACCAGAATGTCCCTGTAAGCTCCGCCCCTGGAGCACCCTACTGTAGATAGGTTATTCACACCTCATTGCTTAGACAAATGCACTGGATAACTAGCTGTCACTCAGTACCAATCTGCAAACTACTGCTCTGAGAACAGTTGAGGTTACCTCAAGCAGGTAGTTACCTCAGTTTTAAGTCAATATTCATAGTTTTTTATTTTAAAGAGATAATTCACCCACCCTCATATCGTTCTAACCCTGTAGGACTTTATTTCTTCTACTAAACATTCTGTGGAGGTATATGAAGAATGTTTCAACTGTTTTTGTCCAGTCAGTGAAAGTAAATGGGGTCCAAACAGGGTTATTATTGTTAATTAAAAATAAAACTATTAAAACATGTTTGTTAATTGAAATGAAGACTGAATTATCCCTCTACTAGTGTATCTGATATTTTCATCTTTTTTACAAAAGTGCATTTCCCAAACTGTGACATAAGCTATAGGCTACTGACAATAAAAAAAATAAAAAATACAAAATACAAAACAAAACAAGGCCTTAATGTTTTTCCACAGTTTCGCAACTCATATGGACTATATGATATTTTTATAGTTCTTTTTGGAGCCTCTTTTTTTTTCTTTCTTCTTTTGGTCACCATCAACTTCCATTGTAGGAAAAAGAACAGCATGAACATTCTTCAAAATATCTTCTTTTTGTGTTCCACAGAAGAAGGAAAATCTTCCAGATTTGAAATGTATAAGGGTGATGACAATATTTTCATTTCCTTGGTAAACGAATACTTTAAGATGTAACAAGGAATCCGAAATGACGGTTCTGTTGTCACTCACATAAAGTCAAGTGTTAGTTCGGCAAGGATTAGAGTACCTGAGAAACACAGAGAGAGAGAATCCATAATCCCTCTGTGAGAAACTCTCTTCGATTACAGGCGGCAGAAACATTCACACAGCACACAAACAGGAACAATCTGAAAAGCTATCAGTAGAAAGAGAGTAAAAGCACTGATAAAATAGAGAGGATTTAGGAGTATTTCCCCTGAAGCTGCTCTGAGGGGAGTAGATGAGAGCGAGATCTGCCCTGAGAGGAATAATCTTTACAGAATGAAGATTAACCTCTGATTTCTGAGAGGCAATGATGGAGAAAATCAAGAGCTGTGAGAGACAGCCAACATTTGTGGGCACGATGTCAATGGGAAAAAGGTAGACATGAAAAGACTGACAGGAATAAAGGGCATGGATCCATTTTGAAGAATGATATGGATTACAAATGTAAGAAGATAGAAAAGGCGAGTACAAAAGATTACAAATATGACATTTTTTTGGACTTGTACACCACAAACATGTATTAAACAGAACAGATTTGGATAAATTTACACTGTAAAAAATGACCGTGAATTTAACGGTAAAAGACTGTAAAAATGCTACAGTAAAAACCTGTTAAATGGTTAACGGTAAATTCCCCTACTATATACAGTGAAAAACTGTATTGGACATTACATGTATTGGACATTAATTTTACGGTAGTATACCATTTTTGGAAGTGAAAAAGACCGTTATTTACAGTGAATAACCGTAAATTGAACTTCCCAGAATTCCCTGCGTTACACACGTTGCTACCGTATTTTTAACGGTAAAATTCCGGCAACCACAGCTTTTACAGTGTAGCATTACCTCACTTGTTCACCAATGGATCCTCTGCAGTGAATAGGTGCTGTCAGAATGAGAGTTTAAACAGCTGATAAAAAAAAACATCACAAGTAATCCACATGACTCCAGTCCATCAATTAATGTCTTGTGACATGAAAATCTGGTTGTTTGTAAGAAACAAATCCATTATCAAGACCATTGTTTCCAGGTTTTTCCAAAACACTTCTATCTCCAGCAAATAATCATCTCATCTGAATCAGGAGAGAAACATGCCTAGATCAAGCACAGTTTACAAGCGAAAACAGTCCAAAACAGTTACACACATGTTGGTGGATTTTGATGTTAGAGAACAACAGGGGATGGACTTTTTCACTGGAGGAAGCATTATTATGGATTATGGTCTGGTATTTTAGCCAGAATCAACCGTTTAAAGTCAAATCACCTTAATGATTGATTTGTTTCTTACAATCATAGAGTTTTTTACTTCACAAGATGTTAACTACATTTACATTTAGTCATTTAGCAGACGCTTTTATCCAGAGCGACTTACAAGTGAGGACAATAGAAGCAATCAAAACCAACAAAAGAGCAATAATATGTAAGTGCTGTGACAAGTCTGGGTTAGCCTAACACAGTAATAGTAATTACTAATACTTATAGTAATAGTAATTAATGGACTGGAGTCGTGTGGATTAATTTATGGATTATTACAATGTTTTTATCAGCTGTTTGAACTCTTACTGTTATTCACTGCAGAGGATCCATTGGTGAGCAAGTGATGTAATGCTAAAAAAAATTCTAAAAATCTTTTCCGATAAAGAAACAAACTCATTTACATCAAGAATGGCCTGAGGGTGAGAAAACTTTCAGCTAATTTTTAATTTTCAGGTGAACTATTCCTTTAGGGAAGTAGATAAGTTTCATTTTAACTACATGTTGACTATTGAAGATCTCAAATGGAGCCAAACATACCTGACTGACAGGGTCTCTGACAGGGACAGGATTCAACACATTCCCAGATGCTACACCAAAAACTTGGCCTAGAAATTTTGATGTGGATGTGCTGTCCATCCAGCCTTTGCCTTCATTTAGTCAATCCAGCTTTCACTACCTTCATAAATGTGTCTGTATTCAAACATAGGGATGTGTGTGTGAGAGAGAGAGAGAGAGAGACAGAGATAGAGAGAGACAAAGAGAGAGAGAGAGAGAGAGAGAGAGAGAGATCCAGCAGAAGTGGTATGTTTGTGTTTGCCATATTTTCAGACCACCAGTGCACAGAGAATGTTCATCTGGCATGGAGAGGACTTCTCATGGCTGGCAACTTTATAAATGTGCGTATGTGTGTGTGAAGCGGATTTTAGCCTGAAAGTGAAGAGGCATTTTCACAGCTCTCCAGAACTACTGGAGCGACACGGCATAGTCTGACGGATAAATTTAAAATGGCAAGGAGAATGAGGGAGGGGAAAGAGATATAAAAGAGAGAGTGGGGCTATGCTTTAGAATGGAAATGTGCTCTCACTCTCAAACACTCTCATTCTTCGCTGTTCTCTCTCACTTTTCTTCAAATTCTCTATATATAAAAAAAGGTTTTCATGAAACTATTGCTAATCTACAACTAAACATCATCAAAGCTTAAGAAACACAATAATGTAACTAACGCTGACAATTTAAGTCATAAATAGCTAAATTACTTCTAAACAAAAACAAGCATTAAAACATTAAAATGCATCTTGAGAACATTGTAAAAAGCACAAGAACTGAAAAATTGCAAGACATGATGTAACAGCTAAAGACTGACCTGATATTCTAATTATTTGTGATTCAATCTATCTCATAAATGTAGTCAGATTAATTCAATAAAAAAAGCTAAATTTCTTAACGTGTCTTTAAAACTATTTAAAAATGCAGCACTTACGGCACAAGAACTGACAAAGAGTGAGATGCAATTTAACAGTCAAAGACTGATCTGATCTGATACTTTAATTATACACAGTATAATGCAATTTAACTCATAATTGTAGTAAAATAAGTTGCAAAATAGACCGTATTTGTAGGCTTTTTTCAGAAACAATCATGTGATTATTTCTGATTAATGAATTAATTGTGCATCATGTGATTAATTTGATACCTGTGTTTAATCATGCCCTAGTATTAAGACAGTAATGCGACACAGTCAGAAGTGGTTTAGGGTTTGAATTGTTTAATCTTTAAAGCAGATCAGGGGATCAGACCTGAACTTTCTGTGTTAACGACAAGACAAAAAAAAAAACGTCAATGAACATCACCCGCGAAAACACAACGAACAGCTGGAAGATGTGACTAGTGCAATGGGAAGTGTGATGGAGGATTGTGGTGATCACAGGTATGACGGCTGGATAAATGACGCTACGTAACCAGACCCACCAAATCTAGAACCAACTCAGATTTCTGAGTTCTGCTGTGGTTGGTTCTAGATTGGCCTAGAGTGGCCAATATTTGGTGTCTAGTTTGGTTCTCTTCACTGTGTGCAATCCTTTGTGAACCAAAAAACGTGGTGCTCAGAACGTTTGAGTTCCACCTACGATCGCCGCTGTTTACTGATTCTGTCCATTTCATAAATGGATACCAGTTTCCCTTTACTGGATAAAGGAGAAATAACAGGGAGGAAGGTAAAAGTGATGGGAAAGGGTATAGGTAAAAAAGGAAGGTTCAAGGGAGTCTATCACTGCAGATTCTGGTTCAGGTGTGTCTCTGGGTGGCGTCTTTCCTTGGCGACAGTCGATAAACGGTGAGATCACAGATACAAACAGGTCTTCCTCTCTTCCTGCTCAGAGACTTAACCTCCAGTCCTCAACTTGTCCTAGACAAAGACAAAAAGGCAGTGCATGTTAGGAAAAAAGCCAGAGATGCAGTGGCACGTTTCCATGGCATTTGCATGCAAATACACAAGGTGAAAGAGAGAGTTAAAAGGAAAAAGAAGTGAATGTGAGTGCATATGTGTGCATATTCTTGAGAGATGAACCACACGGCAAACCACGGTGGAAGCAAAAAGCCCCAACACAACCAAACGTAAACACACGGCTCTTTCTTCCCATCAATACGCATCTCTCACGGGCTACTGCACCCGATAACAGGAAATAAGAATCCCTAGAGTGAGAGGAGAGAGAGCATGGAAGAGAAGGAGAGGAGAAGATAGACGGGCGTCATGGTCTGTCGTCAAGACTATAAAAAAGGAAGAAGCCATAGAGATGTTTTGAGAGAAAACAACAGATTCGTCCTTATTTGAACTCACATTAATGGTAGTTGCAACCCATTTAATGTAATCAGACATATTTTTGAGCAAAATGGGATATTAAACATTTATTAAGAAAGTAAATGAGGACAATTTCAATTAATTGTCACTTTAAAGTGACAGTTCACCCCGTATGACGTGCCTTAGCAAATTAAATACAAAAGAAGATGTTTACGCTGTTCTTTACCATACAATAAAAGTGGATGGTGACAAACTTTCAAGCTGAAAAAAATACATCATAAAAGTGGTCCATAACATACTATAAAAGTAGTCCAGATTAACTGTGTGCTATATGCCAAATCTTCTGAAGTCATATTTTTGTGAGGAACACCCAAATTCAAAACATTTTTCAATGAACATCTCTTAACTCTTATTCAGGTTTGCATATATACAAATATGGCACGTTAAGGCATGTAAAAGTCTGTGAAGCGCCATATTTGAATATGCACCTATTTAAATCACTGTTGTTATTATTAACTAAAATTAAAACTATTAAAAATAGTTTTCAGTAAAGCTGAAATTATATAAAATATAAATATCAGTTGAAAATCTAGCTGAAAATGAAAATACATCTAAGTATTAGAATCACTAAAGCTAAAACAAAAATGATTTAAAGCTAAATAGAAAAAAAAGTAATGAGAATAAAAAGTGCATAACAAAATTGACTAAAACAATCTAAAATTAAAATCAAAATGTAAAAATAAAGGCAAATTCAACATTAATATGTTTTAATATAAACAATAAAAAAACTGAATTAAATTGGTCAAATGACTATGGTACTTTTATGTTTTTTAAGCTTTTTTTTTGCAGCATGACAGCCCTTGGTTGCCATTCACTTTTATTTTATTGAAAACAGCAGAGTATAACATCTCTTTTTGTGATCTTTGGAAGATAGAAAACCATATGGCTTGCAACAATATAAGGGTGAATACATCTTTAAGGCACTGCAATAAGGTAATGTATTTCTGCATCTCTCTCACGCACTCACTGCTTATTTTGCTAAAAATATGCAGAAAGTTCTAGAACAGAGAAAAACACTCGAACAGGTGGTGGCATTTGTTCCAAACCTCTGAAGGAAACAAGTTTGAGCCAGTGAAAAATACGCCTTGGCACAAACAGATGCTGCAGTCCCAAACTCTTACGCTCTTTCTGATAGAGTGGACAACAGTTGAGAGAAGAGAAAAGAGTGAGGGAGGGTAAGGAGTGTTTGACCACGCGTTAAGAATAAAAAAAGAGCGAATGGGAGATCGCTGGCGATAAAGTAGTATTCATGGTGCTTTGAGAGGAAGAGGGCGTATGCTTTATCTCTGGGCACTATCGGCTCGGGGTTGTACCGCAGTCACTGCTTCACAAAGTGATGGAAGAAGGAGAAGAAGGTCACAGCCAAAATATTATCAGTCCAGCAAAGATAAACCATGGAGTAATTACGTCCACACAGCCACAGCCATGACCGATCACTGTTGTTACCCTCTCTGCTACTCAGGCTGTATCAGGGGAATTCATTCCTCTTCGGCTCTTTAGCAATGGCGACCACTGATTAGAGCCACTCTATCTAGATTCTTTCAAAAAGACTTGTTTATACAAATATACAGTGCTATCCGGTCCTTGTTCTCTTAAGATCCTGAGGGACTTCCAGATCCAGACAGACAAGCAAGGACTGGCCAACATATCAGACATTGTGATCTACAGTGGCGATAGATGGAAGTCAAAAATGCGAGAAACTACAAAACATGGCAAGTCAAAGCCGAGGTGACAGAGTGTCCAATCAAACGACAGTATTTTGGTGGAAAATTATTTGTTACTTGGTAGAAGATTTAGCCAAATTAGACTGATGCCATCATGGAAAGGTTGTGTGACATGCCCATATCCTCTACAATCAAAACTATGCAAGTGAAAATATTACAGACCAGACAAAATTTTATCTAATTTCCTGATAAACACGATTTAATTTACTACAATACTATGATTATATTTTACCATAGCATATGAGTTTGCACTCTGAATTGAATTAAACAAAAATAAAATACTGGGTTCTGACAATAAATACACAGCATGTTTCTATTGCATAGCGGTCGTGCAAACAAAATAAAAAACAACACAACACGAGACAAAAACAAAACAAAAGCAAAACAAGGACACCGGACAACAAAACAAAACAAAAAACAAACATGAAAGAAAAGAACAACAACAACAGTGTGGAGATTCACAAGATTCTGCTCTTATGAGCAGATTCTTTTAATGAATTGGTCAAAAATGCTCAGTGTAACAAATTACACACTGAATTTGTCAGAGCAGTTACTCAAGTAACTGACTCATTAATACATTATAAAAAGTATTTGCTGAAGTAAATGGTAGCTATACAGCAAACCATAGCCCTCATATGTTCAAAATATACCGTATTGGCCCGAATATAAGACGACCCTGATTATAAGACGACCCCCCTTTTTCCAGATGTACCTTTTGGAAAAAGGCTTTTTAAAAACCAAATCTTGTTTTTTCTCAGTAAAACACATTTTGTCTTCAATTATTTTCATATTGCATATTTTTCCTATTTTAATTTTTGTTTTGAAAGTATGGTAAAAACTGGTAAAATGTATCAACAATCACATTAAAAAAATATACACTTTTTGATATACTATTAAAAAAAACAAAAACACAGGTAGCCCATCTGAATTAGGACATTTAGGCTATCCATCTAATAGTAGCCTACCAAAATCTTATTAACAGTAGAAGTTAAATCTTACTGTAGTCTTCAAATCTGGGTACTGTCTTAGGTTTTAAAATCACAAAGGGAGTTTGGTCCCATCAGGCTAACGTGACAGTCACGACTCATGCAGCTGTAAGGTTTTCTTTTTCTTTTGTTTTTACTGGCGATCTTTCCAACACGCATTACATTACGTATTTCATGGCACACTCGTTTTATGCGTATTTGGCGCCACCTATTGTTGTGGGTGTATTATTGACATGTCAAAGTCTAGACCCTGAATATAAGACGACCGTGTTTTTTCAGATGTATTTCCAAGAAAAAAACATCGTCTTATATTCGGGTCAATACGGTACATATTTCGCATGGCTGCACAGCCCTCCATCCCTTTCTCTCATGCATACACACAGCACAGAAGCAGTTTAGCTATTTTGTTATCTGGCTGTTATTTTTTGTCTTCCTGTGTGACTAATAAAACTTTATTACACAGGTCACCTCTGTTCCTCACAGCCGAGTCAATAAAATCATAAAATACTTCATGCCATTATTGGAATCCATATTAAATTTACCAGACAACAATACTAAGAACATGCATATACACAAACACAAAAACATTAGAGATGCTAAAGAAGTTACAGGTAAATTTGGCGCATACACAACAATGAATAAAACATCTCTTTATTTGCATGATGTATTGCTTAAGTGCGGCAGAATTCACAGCGTTGCTTTAAACCAGGGGTGCCCAAACTCGGTCCTGGAGGGCCGGTGTCCTGCAGAGTTTAGCTCCAACTTGCCTCAACACACCTGCTGGCAAGTTTTTGGTATGCCTATAAGAGCTTGATTAGCTGGTTCAGGTGTGTTTAATTGGGGTTGGAGCTAAACTCTGCAGGACACCGGCCCTCCTGGACCGAGTTTGGGCACCCCTGCTTTAAACTAATACCCCAGAGGGCAACACTCTTTCGCTCTCGCTCCCAAAACTGTGCTGTTGTAAAAATCTAATGGAAAGTCCCATCTGAATATAAATTGTGTTTGCACGGAATTGCTGGAGTGTGCGGAGGAGATTTTCGGAGAGGGTCGGTCCAATTCTGCCCATTTCCATCCTTGCATTGCGGAATCTGGACCAGGGATGCTGCGGCGGGGGATTGTGGGATGGCACTATTTAAATGACACGTCCCCGTTCCCACTTACTTCATTTAACACACACTTACGCCCGGCACCAAGAACAGCAGCTGTCAGCTGGTATTATTGAAATGAGTCTTTCGTCTGAGCCTACAATTTAGAGTGAACTTAGTGGCACCTGCAGCCAAGCAGAAAGTGAGAGAACACTGGGCAGAAGTTTCGATTTGCAAATAGAGGTGCGGGTCAGGCAGAGAGTGTGTTATTACAGGGCTTGGAGAGGACGGCAACGCTGTTTCACTGGATGCTGTGGGCTAAAGAGCAGCTGTAGATGCTAATTCGTATGCTGGGGTTACTGGGAACTGGTAGAACATACAAAACAGAAGATGCTAGAATGTGTCTTGATGCATAGCACTAGCACCATGAGCAAAAGGGACAAACATGAGTGATTTTTCAATTTAATTCTTCTACAACCTATTTTACATTTATATTAAAACATACATTTCATATTATGTTGAAACATTTCTCATGTTCTCTAGAATAACAACCTCTATCGGTCTCAAAATGTATTTTTTATTGTTTTTATTAAAAATAAAACACTTATAGGTAACACTTTACAATAAGGTTCCATTAGTTAATGTTAGTTAATGTATTAACTAACATGAACAATGCATTTATTACAATATTTGTTATTAATCTTTGTTAATGTTAGTTAATGAAAATACAGTCGTTCATCGTTAGTTCGTGTTAATTCACAGTGCATTAACTAATGTTGACAAGCACAACTTTTGATTTAAAAAATGCATTAGTAACTGTTGAAATTAACATTAACTAAGATTAATAAATGCTGTAGAATTATTGTTCATTCTTAGTTCGTGTTAACTAAAGTAGTTAACTAATGTTAACTAATGAGCCTTATTGTAAAGTGTTACCCACTTATATATTAATACGTTTCTTCTATGCCCTAGAATAAAAGATCTCAAACTATACATATATTTACCCAATGAATAAAAAAATATTTTTAGATATACTTTTTTGTATATAACAATATATAACATTAACATTTTACATGTTTCTCACGTGCCATGGAATAAAGACCTCAAATCATACAGGTATTTACCCGATGAATAAAAAATATATTTTTTTTACAGTTCTTGTGAAAAATAAAAATGTTATATATATATATATATATATATATAATGTATAATTTTTAAATAATGTATTAAAAATAGTAAAATTCTGGAAAATATAACATTTAACCATTTCTTAAACTTGTGTTAAATAGAACAAAATACACACAAAAAAACATTGTGTTATAGATATTTTTGATCTGATTGAACTAAACTACAACTATCCAATGGTGAAAATATCAGACAAATATTTACCCGTTTAGCATTGTTGACACACTGCATGTATAGAGAGGCGATGTTGGAGCACAGCAGAGTTTTCCCGGCATTTTCTCTGTAGCACTTCAGAATCTGCCCCTGAAGGTCGGTGCACACTGGACTAATTTCATACCGCCTGAGAGAGAGAAAGAGAGAACAAAAACGTAAAAGAAGGAAAGAAGGAGAGAGTAAAAACAGTCAGAGGACAGATATATTTAGCAAATGAATGTGGTCATCCATCATAATTACATTTTCCATTTTTAACAAACTGAACCTGTGGCAGTGACAAAGAGCTGTTAAATGATATTCTTGCTGTGCTTTCACAAGTAAACATCAGATCAATCACTAATCAATAGCGGAATTGATTGGTGCAGAATTAGTTTGCAGGATAATTGCATGTTGAATCACAGTGCAGGAGGTCTAACGAGGTGCCGCTTCAAGACATACATCAGGCCGCAGACATCCTGAACCACACATATTTAACCTAAATGAACATATGCCATAGGCTTTTATAAAGTTGGTTATAATTACTAATCTAAACTCAAACCTAAATTAACTTTTCGGCATTTTTAGAATAAATAAAAAACACTGTTTCCCTAATTTATTAATAATTTTTTACTTTTGATGACCTTCGCATCTGTCTCCAAAGGGAATTTGTCAGATTTAGTTAACTTCTGGTGACAGTTTTGTCTCCACAAGTACAGCTAAGTAAAGCCACCCACCCAGATAATTGAAAGCAGTGTTAATCAGGGCAGCTTGTGTCTCTGATGCGTAGATTCTCCAGTGGCGAGATGCTCCCTCACTGACACACACACACACACACACACACACACACACACACCTGCGTCTAAACCCCTCCAGCTGTACCATGTGTCTGAGCCCACAAGTCTACACCGATAAACTTGATAAATATATTGTCTGATGTTAGACAGCACTATCAATTTACATTTTGTAAGAAAACACCAAACATCATGTGAAACAGTATTCATTTATTTATGAGGACTTTTTCTTCATCTTTCTTATCCCACATTTCACAAATGAAGGCTTGCTATGGATTATCAGGGGGGGAAAAACATGCCTATGGCCAACTTTGTTTTGTAACAGTTACAGTGAAAATATACACTATCGGTGCATATTTGGAAGGTTTGGAATAATTAAGATTTTTTTTATTGTTTTAAATTGTCCCTTTCACAAATATAACTTCAAGTAGGGGTGTAAATCGGATTTTCGCCAAAACACGCATTTTGATGTAATTTTGTCTGTATTTATTCATCCATGCATAAAAAAGCGGAAGAGAGCGGTGTAGACGCGGCTGTCTGTGTGCGTGCGCGCAGAAAACTTCTCACACAGCGCTCGACTGTTCCGCAAACAATCCCGAGCGTCTTTTATGCTCACCTTGTACCTCCGGGCAGTCCTTATATTGAGTCCTGATACGTGAGTTTGAGCGAGAATGCACGCGTTGGCGGTAATGCATAGACGGACATTATGTGAAAGTGTGGACAGTGCCAAAATAAGGGTGCCTATTTATACTACAGATATGATATCGATATTTTATGTGTGGCATCGATGCATCGTATCGTCAGACATCGTATCGATGTATCG